TGTGCGGACAGTGATAGATTAAGGGAACTGGGGGGGGGGAATTGGGTGTGGGAAAGCGAGGCTAGGCGTGTGGCATGACTGCGAGGGAGAGGGACTGCCGGACCGAGCCGTGCCGAAAAGATACTACCTACGTTAAATGTTCAAGATGTAGCGTGCTGCAATTTCTCAAAAAAATTTCCGACGGATTTCGCTCAAATTTTCAGGGAACGTGTCAAATTGATGTAAGAAAAGGTACTGAAAGTTTCGCGGCGCTGTACGCCGCCGTGTTTGAGTTATTACAAAAATTCGCGAGGGTGGGTAAAATTTTCCCTCCCCCCTCCCAGCCCCACGCGGGTTAAAATAGATAACTAGGCCGTTTCTGCTAAAATCAGAGCTGTCTTCCCACAGAGGGACACTATGGACCACGGCATAAAAATTTAACAGCGTCATCTCTTTGTAGCCAGCTCCTGCTGAAAAATCCCGCCGGTACGACAGCCGGTGCGTTATGAAGCGCCATAGACAACGCAGAAAAAACGGCGACAGTGCGACAGCTCGTCCCCGCTCGTCGCCGTTTGAGCGGTGGCGGGGACCGGCGCGGCCTTGGCCGCCGCCGGAGATAGGGAGGGACCGGGCGACGAAACGGGGGACGTCACATCTGGGCCACAACTGGGGTGAGGTCCATGACCATCGGTCCCAGAAACTTGGTAGGAGCGTTGATAATTGGTTCTGACTATACTGAAGCAAAGGCAAGTGAATCAGTGACAACTGATAATCCTTTCGTGAGTTCTGATTGAACTGGATCAGGAAGCCAGGACGAGCTAGGAAGTCAATCAGACCTTAGGTAAGTTGGATGCTAGTAATTTATTTTTGTATTGTTGTGTCACTGAAATGTGGTGATGCATTGTAATGCACAGAGGCCGAAATTTGAAAGGTCAGTTTCTTTCTAACATTCTGGCCTCATTTCATTAGGCCTACAAAGGTGATGAGAAAACGTAAAAATATGGTACATACTGTTTCAAGATGACTTGTAAAAAATTGGTGACAGCTAGACATTGCGTAGGTGACAGCTTTTGAGTTTTATTCACCTCTGCGAAAATTAGCGATAGGGCGTCAGTTGTCTAGTACATATGTTGCTATTAGAGGTCACTGGTCATACCAGGTCAGGTCACAGGTCAGGTCACCAAGGGTCACCACATGAACCCAACTTTACTATGGTAGTTTAACCCTCGCCGGCCGAGGGGAGGGGGGCGGGTGCCGCCCCCCCCCATAGGGTTTTTTCGCGATAGCTCCGAACTCGCTGGCGAAAGAGAGCTGAAACTTGGCATACCTTACCTTTGATCCAAGCCGCATCTTTTGACGCCAACCGCATTTTTGGGTCAGGTCAGGTCACTGACCTATGACGTCATAAGTGAACCTCTGCAGGTCTTCAGATGTCGCAACTTCGCAACGCCCTCACTGCCAGAGGAGATGTCACAGGGAAATGGCAGGATCTAGTATCCATTATGAGTCTCACAACTTGTATATCTCGGATATTTCCTAAAGGTCATATGAGGTCAGGCCATTTTCGTGACCTCACCATTATAAGTCAATGGGGAAAAATGAAAACTGCTATTCTGGCGCCGGGAACGATCTCCAACAATCTCAAGCACACAGAATCGTGATTTGATGCACTCCTTGCAAGGTCAGATGCGTCACTTTTGCAATGTTGACCTACCGTGACGTCATTTATGACGTCATCAAGGTCATATTAGTTTTTCGTCAATAACTCCCGATCAAATTGAGCTAGCGAGTCGAGAAAGCCACCAATGGACTCAGGAAGACCTGCCGAATCGAATGATATGCGACATGACCTCTTTCGACCAACTTCGTGACCTGGGGGTGCTGACCTGACCTTGACCTGAGGTCAACACCCCAAGTTGACCTGACCCGAACAAAAAGTATATCATTCGACGCGCCGGAGCGAGGCGAACACGATGCTGCCAAAATCGCGGCTCTGCGGCCGTTTTTTGCGAAGTTATTCGCCAAAAACTGAACCGTACCCTGGGGCACTTGACCTGACCTCAGAGGCAGGGCTGCGGAGTCGATGGATTTTCGGCGACTCCGACTCCGACTCCGACTCCGGCTTTCAAAAACCAGCTCCGACTCCGACTCCGACTCCGGGCAGAATTGTCGACTCCGACCGACTCCAACTCCCGACTCCGACTCCGCAGGCCTAGCAGGGCTGCGGAGTCGACAGATTTTCGGTGACTCCGACTCCGACTCCGGCTCGGGTTTCTAAAATCGACTCCGACTCCGACTTCGACTCCGGTCACAACTGTCGACTCCGACCGACTCCGACTCCGACTCCGACTCCGACTCCGCAGCCCTGCTCAGAGGTCACCGGTTGACCTAGGACCTTAACCCTCGCCGGACCTATTGGTTTTCTACATATGCGCCGGCCGAGGGGGGGGGGCGGGTACGACCCCCCCTCGCCGTTTCGCCCCTGGTGGAGCTAGCGCGTCGCGGAAAAAACGAGCGTGTGCGCCGTTACGAGACGCAGAGATTAGTACCCGATTTTAAGGTCCTAGGTCAACCGGTGACCTCTGAGGTCAGGTCAAGTGCCCCAGGGTACGGTTCAGTTTTTGGTGAATAACTTCGCAACAAACGGCCGCAGAGCGCCGATTTTGGCAGCATCGTGTTCGCCTCGCTCAGGCGCGTCGAATGATATACTTTTTGTCCGGGTCAGGTCAACTTGGGGTGTTGACCTCAGGTCAAGGTCAGGTCAGCACCCCCAGGTCACGAAGTTGGTCGAAAGAGGTCATGTCGCATATCATTCGATTCGCCAGGCCTTCCTGAGTCCATTGGTGCCTTTTCCGACTCGTTAGCTCAATTTGATCAAGAGTTATTGACGAAAAACTAATTTGACCTTGATGACGTCATAAATGACGTCACGCAAGGTCAACATTGCAAAAGTGACGCATCTAACCTTGCAAGGAGTGCATCAAATCACGATTCTGTGTGCTTGAGATAGTTGGAGATCGTTCCCGGCGCCAGAATAGCAGTTTGAACTTTTCCCCATTGACTTATAATGGTGAGGTCACGAAAATGACCTGACCTCATATGACCTTTAGGAAAAATCCGAGATATACAAGTTGTGGGACTCATAATGGATACTAGATCCTGCAAGTTTCATTTCCCTGTGACATCTCCTCTGGCAGTGAGGGCGTTGCGAAGTTGCGACATCTGAAGACCGTGCAGAGGTTCACTTATGACGTCATAGGTCAGTGACCTGACCTGACCCAACAATGCGGTTGGTGTCAAAAGATCCGGCTTGGATCAAAGGTCAGGTATGCCAAGTTTCAGCTCTCTATCGCCAGCGTGTTCGGAGCTATCGCGAAAAAACCCTATGGGGGGCGGCACCCGCCCCCCCTCGGCCGGCTAGGGTTAAAATCGGGTACCAATCTCTGCATCTCGTAACGGCGCACACGCTCGTTTTTCCCGCGACGCGCTAGCTCCACCAGGGGCGAAACGGCGAGGGGAGGTCGTACCCGACCCCCCCCTCGGCCGGCGCGTATGTAGAAAACCAATAGGTCCGGCGAGGGCTAAAGCGGCTCCGGTGGAGCAGTATCCTTTACCGCGTTTTAATTAAAAGAGCTCTCAGCAAAGCTCCAGGGGAGTACGGTGTACTCAAAGGTTGATCTCAAATCGGCCTATAACACTATGCAACAAAAAATGAAACATTTTCTGTTCCTGGAAAGCGACCGAATTTTTCTTATTCATTGGGTCCTATTATAACCGAAATGGGCATTAGTTTTGATCTGAAAATGCTTTTCCGGTTTTCAGAGACGATTTTCGATTTTTGGCCCCGAAATTCGGTTTTTGGACCACCGTCTCCGATGTAATTGAGTAATCGACTCGCGGTAACTTTCATCGCCTTTCCTATGCCACAAGCTTTCGAATGATATCTGGTTTTGCATATTTGCGTGCAAAAACAACGTCATAAATCTATGTTAAAGTAAGAAAATGTTGAAATTTTGTAAAAATTTGACATTTTTTTTATTTCATTTGAAGATAGAGGAAAAACTAAAGGCCCTATCCAAATTCTGAGCCCAGTTCCTTGAAGAGCATTCAATTTCCGTTCGGAAGGTACCTTTTTAGTGCATTTTATCGGATTCCTGTGGCGTACAGATTGAGTTAACCTAAACACATATCCTAAGTCATATCACATAGCATTAACCTGATAGCGTATGTTAACGCCATAGGATCAACGAGGGGTCAACTGAGGTCATGTTGTTGACCCCTTGTGACCTCGGGTCACACGCAGGAACTTACTTTTGAGCAGTCCTGTCGCTCAGAATCTTGATCTGTACCTCCATTTGTTTGAATGATTCTTCATGCACTGAACACATATTGTCATGGAAATGGCTGGGGGCCCGTTTTTCAAGTGACTCAATCTGGACGCCACAGTAAACCGATAAAATGCACTAAAATAGTACCTTCCGAACGGAAATTGAATGCTCTTCAAGGAACTGGGCTCAGAATTTGGATAGGGCCTTGAGTTTTTTCTCTATTTTGAAATGAAATCGAAGATATGTCACATTTTTACAAAATTTCAATATTTTCTTACTTTAACATAGATTTATGACGTTATTTTTACGCGCAAATATGCAAAACCGGATATCATTCCAAAGCTTGTGGCATAGGAAGGGCGATGAAAGTTACCGCGAGTCGATTACTCAATTACACCGGACACAGTGGGCCAAAAACCGAATTTCGGGGCCAAAAATCGAAAATCGTCTCTGAAAACCGGAAAAGCATTTTCAGATCAAAACAAATGCCCATTTCGGTTATAATGGGACCCAATGAGTCCAAAAAAAAAACGGTCGTTACTCAGGAACAAAATGCCTGTTGCGTAGTGTAACCAGCTCCCTCTAGACGAAAAATCACGAAAATATCTTACCGTCAACACTCTAAAAGGCTTACTGATGCCCACGAGACTCGGGTTTGGTTATTCATCCGCACCAGCACTTTTCCAAAGGACGATGGAGGTGCTCTTAGCGGGCATCCCAGGGACGTGCGTCTTCCTGGATGACGTCGTAGTCTCGGTTAAGACGCTGCAGGAGCATAATGTCGCACTGCGAGCGGTGTTGGCGCGTATCCGTGAGGCCGGACTGCGGCTTAACAAGGACAAGTGCGTTTTCCGAGCTCACAGGGAGGTGTACCTGGGTCATCAGATCAGTGGTGAGGGTATCAAACCGACAGATGACAACGTGGAGGCGATCACAGCGGCCCCGGAGCCGGAAAATGTGTCCCAGCTGCGCTGCTGGCTGGGACTGGTTAAGTTATATGGGAAGTTTCTGCGTGGTCTCGCCACTACGCTGTCACCACTGTACGCTCCTTTGCGAAAGGATGCTGTTTGGAAATGGGCGGACGCGGAAAAGGAGGCGTTTCAGGATGCCAAGCGCCTGTTACGGAGCCCTCCTGTTCTGGCACACTTTAATCCTCAGTTACCGATCACGCTGGCATGTGACGCCAGTCCGGTGGGGATCGGTTGAGTCCTCAGTCAAAAGACGCCGTCCGGCGAGCGTCCAGTAGCGTATTATTCGCGCACGCTCAATGAGACGGAGCGGCGTTACTCGCAAGCAGATCTACACCTTTTTACGCCCAATTTAGGCGGAAGTGCACACATTTCAAAAATAGTGCAGGCGATTTCGACGGTTCGGCATAGTGCCTTCATATATTGAATCGCGGCACGATATTCGTCATTGTGCACCCCACTCCGTCATAGGGTAGTTAAAAGTGGCCCAGGTTCAGACATATTGGACTTAGTGCAAATAATAATTCGTCAGGTTAATTTAATTTCGACATACGGCATGTGCTTACGGCAATGTTCAAATAAATCCAGCACGGTATAAATAAGCGATTATGTAAGCAAATCTCACCTTCCTACGCAACTTAAGCCCTCAGCAAAGCTCTGGACCTAATGAAGAATGTGGGATGTCACGTGAACGTGAAATGCGCTACACCTTTTTACGGCCAAATATAGAAATAGTGCACACAGTTCAGTAATAGCGCAACCGATTTCGACAGTTCGGCATAGCGCACCTCTTAGTTCGGCCAAGTGCATGATATTCGATAATAGTGCACACGTTTCAAAAGAAGAGCAATCAATTTAGAAGATGGTGCGCTCAAATTCAGTGAGCCGTAGGTTCAATTTCGTCATCGTGCACGGTTTCGTCATGTGGCCTGATAGTCGGCGTCCAGCAAAGCGATTTAGGCGATGTTCAAGTGAATTCGCTGCTAGGTTGGGAAAATATTTTTGAAAGCCCGTATCTGTCTGTCAAGAGTAGCGTGAATCTTGTTCAAAAACCTGCTCAAATGCAGTTTCAGCTCTCAGGAATTAACTTATCATTAGTCTCGCTCTAAGAACTCGGTGACACGGTCAAGTGGCGGTCACGTGGCATTCAGGGCTTCTGAATCGGGTGCATAACTTCGTTACTGGTTCAAAAAGATCAGAAATGCTATGGATTCTTGTTATCGCCTTTCAGCATCATGGCGAATTTGATTGAACAAAGCCGAAAAAATATTGCTCATGCCGAATATAAAAGCACCCGACGAATTATGTGCACTATGTCTTATATGATTGAAGCTAAGACACCCAGATGAAACATTAAATACCCTTTACCTTTTGCATTCAGAGCAGTGCAGCTGGCTACTTGATTTTTTTGCGTTGCTGACTGACTACGAGTGTCATTGGAGGCTCAGGTAGCGTGAAATGTCAAATAAAAATAGTTACTATTTATTTATGCAATGCCGTCTTACTGAACAGTGCCTAAATTACATGCGGGACCCCGAAATTGAAACGATCTGACGAATAATGTGCGATATGTCTAATATGTCTGAACCTGTGTCACTTTAAACCTGCACTATGACGAAATGGCTGCAATGGCCGTTTTCACGACGGAATAGCAGGCATCTATTTAATCCCCATTTGATCATTAAGTTCCTCAGGAATTTTAGTAGTTCTTTTTAGTAGGTTCCCCAGCTTTCGAATGAATGGTGCGTTAGTTTGCTATTTTTCTATTAAATATCACATCGATTTACTTTATCTAAGGATTTATCACTAATATCAACATAAAGCGTAAGCACAATTATAAAATTATGAAATTATTAAATACTAGTACAATAGTTAAAAAAAGATACTGAGTTGCCAGGCTACAAAGAACATATTCATTTATGGCGCACGACAGACATTTAGAAAGCAGCGCCCTGTTTTATTGCACGTTGCTAGCCGCTTCCATTGGGTTTTGCAGGCCGTCGTCATTGGTCGTTACACGTATGATGTCACGCGACTTGTGGCCTGTCACGGCTTGATCTCCACTAAATGAATGCAACAATGGCCTTTTAAGTTGATCTCTGTGGCCATCTGTCTATGGAGCGACCAATATGAAAGTTGGGTGAATTTACCGGGGTTACATGACTATGAGCAAGCAAATGTGTATCAGGAATGGATTTAGGTGGAGAATTGCGCTGGACCATGAGTGCTCGAACGCTCCCAATTCCACGCCGGTTTGGCTTTGGAGCCGAGACAGACGATGCGGGTCAAGGTCACCGCTGGGGTAACGGTGGATTGGGTGCGCCCGAGCACCCGTAACGCGGCACAATTCTCCATCTATGGATTTTCCTATTCGCTCAGCATTGTGATAGGCGTTCGTAATAGCATTTACTCTGCTCATGTACCTATCCCCGGTTATTTAAAAGAAGTTTTTGTGGGGGAATATCACGGCTTTAGGTACTCGGTGGCCCTATTCACGACTTTCAAAGAATGCTCCGATAACTAAACACCGCACAGACCTACTGCATTAGTGAATCTGACAGAATGTCTGTGGAATTACATCCCCCCTCACCACACCCCTAAAAACTCATCCAGTGTCCAAAACCACTTTTATCGACTCGCCAAAAAAAAAACACACACACACACACACACACATACACACACAAAGCATGGGGCATGTCAGCTCTCAGTTCATTTATTATTGTCTTTACCATGGTTCAATTGCATTGCGCGATTTAAAGCACGTGAGTGCCTATATAGTATATATGTAGAAAATAATATCTACAGCAAAACATCCAAAATTACAAAGGCTACAATGCTTAAAAAGTAGGTTCATCAAGGAAGCCCATTTTTACTTGCGTTGTGTTCCCAACCATGCGATTCCAACGCGGGCTATTCGCAACGTCTGTTAAGGCACGTTAACAACTGACAAGCCGCCACCGCTGCCACTTATTCATAGATGGTTGATATCGCAGCTTGGGCGTCAGCAGCGCGGCCCACAACGCGTCGGCGCCAGCGCACGCAGCTGTTGGCACTCGGCAGCCGGTGTTGCGACTTAACGGCCGGCCGGCCCCATGAAGGAGAAGCTCTTGGTGAAGCTTTGTGATCGCCTCATAGCCGCCTTGGATGTCATCTTTCTTGGCAGATCCATCCGTTCAGATGGTACGGTGCAGTCTGGATAAAGGACGAAGTCCAACGCCGCTAACCCCGCGACCGCCACCCCACAACGTGGCCGCAGACCGAACGGGCGTGAGGGCCGTAAGGGCCACCCCGCCATCCGGTAGGTGGCTGAGCAGCCGGGCGCAGCGGCGCCTGGGCGGCGGCCGCGCTGAGATGAAGTCCCAAACCGCCATGTCGCCATCACCGCCATCACCATTGCTGCAGCTGTTCCCAACCGCCTCAATCGCCGCCGTTTTGCCAGCAGTCGCGCCGCGGAATGGCAGAAGCTCCAGAGTAGCCTCCAGCGCCCCTCTCCGCACGTGTGCAGGTGCACTGCGGCCGCCGGGTCCGACGTCCAGGCAGAACATGATATTTCCATGCTGCTCCGACGGTGGGCTGGTCTTGTTTGGGCGTTCCTCCACTGTGACGTCGGTCACGCCTGCCCCGGCCAGGGCGCAGAGGCCGACGTGTCACCATCCGGTTGCAGTCCTCAGTCGGGTCGCAACGTGTACCTCTTCCGCAGCGTGGAGCGCGCTCCCGCTGGGCAGCGATACAGCCAAAAGTAGCATAGCATGCGGGCGGCCAGCGCTGCGCCGGACAGCGGACCCATGCCGGGGGTATGCCGGTCTCGGCCATTAGCGGGGTCGTCGGGGCCGAGGCTGTACATACAGCTGGTGACCGCGTGAGCCGCCAATCGAAGCTCACGGCTTATAAGCTCGACGCGGGCATCACACGCCGTCCCGATGGGAGCTCCACGACGCCGCCGCGAACTCCAGCGCGGCTCGCAGCGCGAAGACCAGTACGGACGGCCGGGGCAAACGGCGTGCGGGAGTCGCAGGCGACGTTCTGCGGACAGAAAGGGTTGGGCATAAGCTGGTCGGCAGGACACTCTTGAGCCGAGCCTTTGATGTAATTACAGATGATCCAGAAGCATGCACAAAAATTCATGACACACTATTCTCATTTATGTATTTGCTACATATGATATGATATACCAGCTCATGATCAGTGACGCATTCTGGGCAATATGTTCTAAAGTGAAGTAACTGAAGTTACAGCTTAAAAGCTTAAAAAAAAACAGCTTAAAAAACACACACACACATTCGATAGCTTATGAGAATAACATGCCTTGTGTGCTTAATGCAGGAAATTATTTTTTCACTTTTTTAGAAACAGCAAAAGAGTTATCAACAAGCCATTTCAACTATCTAAACAATTTTTATGGAAACTGCTCTAGCTAGCTTAAAGTTCCACAACGTTTCCGGAGCACCGTACCCAAACTCAGTTCATGTTACAAGAAAAAGCAGTAATAATGCCTCCTAATTTTGAATGAAATATAGGTATGAGTAATTTGATTTGGAAAGCAACAAATTTCCGCACATCATTTTAGCAAAATTACTATTTTCTTCAGCCATCAGGTTACACAAAACTATAGTAAACTTTATGATCTAGTTTACAAAAAACCAAAGCCCCGATTTTAACAAATGTAGATAAAATTTAAACAATTTAAAAAAATGTATCGTGGAGAAAATGAAAAGTGTAGATTTGTAAAGCCGGGATATTTCAATTTCACGGATTAGGCACTTAAAGAAATATCTTCACCTTTCTTTGAGCCACCAGCCTTCACCCAAGTTTTACACGAATGTAGTGAAGCAGACAATGTGGCAACTCAAAATTGTGATGGTTTGAGATAATTATGACGGTAAAAGAAAAAGCAACACAAGGTTCCTTACCCTCGTTTTTTCACATGGGTTCAGATGAGGCTTCAACTGTTGCCGACCTGAGGAGCTATAGGGACTTGAGCTTTCCAAAACTCAATTTCTAAGGGCACTGAGCAGTGTT